GTGCCCACAGAAAAAGGAAAGTTGTAAAAAAAAAAAAAAAAAAAAAAGGAAAACTCAAGGTAAACCACTTTCTTTTCAGTTTGGCAGGAAATAAAAATTGTTAGTCACCACACTGGCAGTAACTCCATGGCTTGTGTTGACTGTTAATGAGTCTAGCAGAACATCTAGGCAAGGAAGAGGATAGGGATATGATTTTCTTTTTCCTGGCACTTTCGCTCCTCAAGTGGATGATCTTAAATAACGACATCATCCTCAGCAGTTAATTTATTTTAATATTTGATATGGAAACTACTGTAATTCCAGGAATGGCACCATACAAGTGGAGTTCCACTGATCTATAAGCAAGGTGATGACCACAACCCTAAATTTGCCTGTTCTAGAGGAGTCCTTATTTTCAAATCTTTCTTTTGATTTCTGTCTTAGGGCAACTCGAAGAAGGTAATCTTTTTTTTTGCATCTTCTACACTTTGCCTTTTGGTCAGCAAAATTAAAAAGGAGGGGGTAGAGGATCATTTCAGTTGTGCTTTAGCACAGATGCCTTAAGTTACATATTATTAACTTTTTTTCTCTGAAGATCTGCTGTCATGTTACAGGAAGTACTGTCCTGTTTTTGTAACTGTGACATGCAAATTCATGTACTAAGGCTATCTAAAGGGAAGATAGTCTTATTCTCAGGGCAGAGGCAGTTCTTCAAAAGGCAATAGGGTTGAGCAGGAAAATTAATATGTTTCTTGGAGCTGGAGCTTTCCTTTCTTTTTCTTATCTGTTGCAAATTCTTGGCTCTTTCTGAAAAAAAAAATCTACTGAAGACTTTGTCTTGAACTTGTGTTACTTTCTTTTTTGCCTTTCTGTCACTCATCTTGCTGCTATGCTGCTCTGTCTCTTCCATGAAGTAATGGAAGAGTAATGGAAAACCTGTGTTTGTCTCAACTGGGAGTGCAGTGATAACTAACCAGGTGGTGTTTGAGTTAACCTTGGAGATAAAAGTCAAGTGAAGCACCCCAAAGACAGGTTTTGTTAGTTTAGGAACACCACCAGTCAGTATTACTCCTTGGCATTGGCCATTTGGTCAACACTGTTGTTAATACAGCGCAGAATGTAATTGTTGGAGAGGGTCAAAGGCAACGTTGAAAACCTCTGCATCACTCTTCATCGCAAGATGCTGATCATAGAATCATAGAATGGTTTAGGTTGGAACGGACCTTGAAGATCATCAAGTTCCAACCCCACTGCCATAGGCAGGGACACCTCCCACTAGACCAGGTTACCCAAGGCCATGTCCAGCCTGGCCTTGAACACCTCCAGGAATGGGGCCTCGACAGCCTCTCTGGGCAGCCTGTTCCAGTGCCTTACCGCCCTCAAAGTAAAAAATTTCTTCCTAATGTTTAATCTAAACCTGCCCTCTTCCAGGTTAAAGCCATTCCCCCTTGTCCTGTCACTACATGCCCTAGTAAAAAGTCCTTCCCCCGCTCTCCTGTAGGCCCCTTTAGGTACTGGAAGGCCGTAATAAGATCTGACTGGAGCCTTCTCCAGGCTGAACAGCCCCAGCTCTCTCAGCCTCTCCTTATAGGAGAGGTGCTCCAGCCCTCGGATCATCCTCGTGGCTCTCCTCTGGACACGCTCCAATAGGTCCATGTCCTCCAGAGCTGGATGCAGCACTCCAGGTGGGGTCTCACGAGAGTGGAGTAGAGGGGCAGGATCATCTCCCTTGACCTGCTGGCCACACTTCTTTTGATGCTGCCCAGGATACGGTTGGCCTTCTGAGCTGTGATTGCGCATTGCTGGCTCATGTTGAGCTTCTGGTCAATCAGCACGCCCAGGTCCTTCTCCTCAGGGCTGCTCTCCAGCCATTCCCTGCCGAACCTGTATTTGTGCTTGGGATTGCCCTGACCCAGATGGGACCCTTGCGCTTGGCCTTGTTGTTGAACTGTATGAGGTTGGCTTGGGCCCAGTTCTCCAGCCTGTCCAGGTCCCTCTGGATGGCATCCTTCCCCTCCAGCATGTCTACCTCGCCAAACAGCTTGGTATCATCGGCAAACTTGCTGAGGGTGCACTCAAGATACATTTCTCATGTTTGCATCTGTTGGTGACTGCATTTATTTGTGGACCTAGCCTTGTCTTTTTGCGTGTGTCATCATAGAGATGTAAATTTGTTGTTAGCCTTGTCATAGTAAGTGAAACATGCAGGTAATTTGTTGTTCAGCTCTTAGAGCAGCTATATATATAATACATGGGCTTGTTTTGTGGATATTGAGAATTTCAGAAAAACTGTTGTGTTTTTTAAATGTATATACTACGCATAGTCCACTGTTAGCAGTTAAACTCTGCTTTTAACCAGAATAATTATTTAACGCCTTTGATTATCTCTGTTCTTTTCTCTTGCTCTTGAGGATTATCAAAAAACGGATGAATTATGTCTCTACTGATGAGGCATCTGCTTTTTATTCTTTCTGCTGTGCTTGCTTTTCCACTGAGTTTACTGGTAGATAGGAATCTGACTCCACCACAGAATCATGAGCTGTCTGAATTTTCAGTACAAGGAGTATTTGACTGAGCTGCGTAGATCACTATTGTTGTAGAGTACAGTTTCTTCCAATGGATATACAAGGACAGTGTGTACTTAAATGTTGTTTTACTTGCTTTCATACAGAATTTCTTTTTTGCCTTTCTTTTTCTGTTAAGCGTCATTACTGTCACTAGCAAGATTTCCCAAAATAATAATTCCCACAAAATTCTCAACAATTTTTTCCCATTTGAAATACATAATGCACATATTTACAAATAGTTTTGAATATGAATATGTAAGAATATTTTCTGCCAGTGGACTGCAAAACTGGTTGTAATTTCTTAGCAGGGGCATCAGATTCACTCACACCTCCATGTAATGATTCTCTTGCAGAAACATGTACATTGGGCAGTAGAATGAGATCTTATTAAGTATTTGCAAATAATTCAGCAATTTTTCCGGTGTTATCTTATCTGAAATTTCTTTATATTGTACTGAAAGTATTGTAATAATAGTTATAAGAAATAAAAAGCTAGACTGTGATCTCCCGTGGTAAATATAAAGGGAATAAAAATGTTGTTTCCTTACAGCATTCCAGTCCTTTGTATCAAATAGGATAGGGGTTGGAAAAAAACAAGACACCTAAAACCATAATGTATTTAAACTCAAGATTATTATGTATGGGATTGCTTGGGGACTGACTTCAAAGTTACATAGGTGACCTTAATTTGGGAACTGCATATCTTTTGGTGTACTGAGTTTTTTACATTAATAGCATCCCTTTTGGTTTGGTTTTGTTTTGTTTTGTTGTTTTGTTTGTTTGTTTTTTCTCCTGAGAGTGAAACACTTCTACATAAAACTTACCATTTAATTCTGTTGCATTAGAGGAACTGATACCTTTCATTTGTAATCCTGTAGGGTACTAATTCTTATGATTGCAATTTGAAAATAAATATTTTCTCTTTCCCCTCTCATTATGTTTATGTATATATTTTCAGATATGATTCTGGATCAGCAGGTGAGTTCTGGGCAGCTCAGTGAGGATGTTCGTCACAGAGTGCATGAGGCATTACTGAAACAGCATCACCATCAGAATCAGAAGAAACTGAGCAACAGAATCCCAATTGTGAGATCCTTTGCTGATATTGGAAAGAAGCAGTCTGAGCCCCATTCCATGGATAAAAATGGTAATGCATTGCTGTATTTTGCATTTTGAGCTTTCAAGAATATCTGCCTGTTCAGTATCACATGTACTTTGTACCCACAGCTTGAACTCGGCATGATGCTGCTCTGAAAAGCTACTGTGTAAAAGTGGTACCTTTTACATGAGAGTGGTTGTTCTTACGCACTCAGTAACACACCTGTTTAAATTTGAAAATCAGGTATCTGTCACAATTCAGGGCTGTGCAGAGTTATTCAGGGGAACTAGCTCAGGTGTTGGAAGCAGGCTAGCTGTCTTAGTGTGCCATTCTGTCCTGGGTAATTGGCATAGCGCATACACGGTCCAGCACAGCTCAAGTACACTTATGGTGCTTTCGGCACTCTCTGCGATCCTTCAGACTGAGCTTCACCATCTTTACACAGTGTTGCTCTGAACTGTGGACATGCTCCATTAGTGCCAGAAATGTGATTTGACTATTTTTGACCTCTGTTGACTATCCAGCACTGATTTAGTTTCTAAGTCTATGACAGTGTATGCGTTACATAGTGTTCAGCTGATGCTTCAGATTTCATAGTTGAGTTTGAGGGGTTGGAAAATGAGAAAAACATTTTCAAGATGACACTATTGGAGAGATGCTGCAAGAACTGTGCCTTGTTCTTTCAGAAAATCACTTTTTGGAAAATCACGTTCATAAAAATGAGAGAGCACATTTGCAGAGTGGTTCTACACTAAAATATTGGCTTAACTTTTGTCTTTCTTCCTTTAACAGAAGCCTTTATAAGCTGTACTGTTGTTATAGGTTAATCATAATGAACGATAATTTCTTACTGCCCCTTCCTTATTTACATAAACACAGGCCTGTGTTATGAAAATTGCATTCAAATTTTGCAAATACTTACAATTAATTCACAAGAATTATACATTGCACAATTACTGAGCCTCTGTATCCAGTATCATCACAATACCCACAACATTTTTGTCTGAATACGCTCGGACTATAGTGACTCTTATTCCAGAAATCACCTTAGCTTTAGTGAAATCTCAGTCCCTTGTGCGTCCTTCTGGTTCAGGGCCCTACTGAGCTCCCTTGTCACTCTGGGAAGTGGGGAGTGAGGAAACAGCTGTAGCACTGGGAAGGTATAGTGTGTAAGAGGCAGCTGTGTGCCATGTGCCCTATAGGGCAGAAGGGGAAAGAGTCGTAGTGTGGCTGATCTGGAAAGATGGGGCTGTTGGTATAAAGATTAACTTTGGTTTCAAGGAAGGACCTTTTGTTTTAATCATTGCCATATAAAGTTTTAATAGGTACTTCTAAATCTAGCCAATTCCCTGGGGAAGACTCTCAGACCTAAAAGACAACATGTAATTTCATCTGAAGAGGCTATTAAATAGAAACATATTAATTATGCCAAAATATCATTTTAACAGTAAGAAAAAAATTATTAAGATGTGCATGATTATGCATACGGATGCACAAGAGTAAAAGCAAGTAGGATGATTGTCCATCCTTTGTAAGGCAACTTTCCTGTTGATTTGTGCAACTCTTGCTTATGACTTTAAACAAATATTCAGGAGACATTTAAGAAAGTTAATGTTGTAATGTTCCTATTCCTCAATTTCTGCAGGACGCAAGATGGCAGCTTGCATTCCATAAGCTTTTTGCACTAGATCTTATATAAAAAATAAGCAGTAGGTGTCCTTATAAAAAACCCTCAAGGCAAGCTGTGAAAGTATCATGAGCACAATTTCAGTAACTTTCTGTGCCTGTTAGTGGAACTGATACAGTAATTTACTCCAGAAACATCTCACTTTTGCCCAAGTTTCTTCTGGGAACCTTCATATCTCTATTGAATTCCCCCAAAAATAGATTCTGATCAGGACAGCATCTAAGTCTATATTAAACACACTAATTTTATATATTCAATGGTTAAGTGATTCTGTCAGTAGGGAGACACATTCTTACAGGTTTTCATTTGTGCTTATTTTGCAAGATTACTGAATTCCAGTACACAGGTTTATGCAGATGCCTCAGAGCACTCTAACCCCTGGTTAGAAAAATCACTTAGTCACTTTCACTGTGTTAATTTAAATTAAGTTAAATACGCCGTAAACAATACAAATCTAAATAATTTTTGGAACATTTATACAAAGGTAAATCAGCTTCTTATCTAAATTACATTGAAGAGTTCCAAATGCAGTCTTTTTGGACACAGATGTCTTTTACTCAGTTTGAAGCATTTGTTTTCTGCTTGCATCCTTTAAGTGCTAATGCACATTTGGCGGGCTCTTGCATTGACCTCTTCAAAATAGATGATGGCTCTGTGATAAAGCGAAGAAGGGTTGGTTTATTTTAAGTCTCTCTCTTACCATCCATTACCCTGTTACATTTGAAAGTCTGAATCTTCTTTTATTGCATGAATTGCACTAAAATTAGTATTAGCTTTAGAAGAGGAAAATTCAGTCTAAGTTTTTTGTTTTAAAAGGAATCAATTTTTTTTTCCCTTTTCAAGACAACAGCAACTAAGCAGCTCATGGGCTTGAGTGGCAACTATTGCCCCAGTACTCCAGGATTAAAGGAGTGGGGGAAAGGGATGATTCTGGAGAGCTGCCTAATTTCAGGCATACAGACTGCTACCTCTTCTGGCTTACTCTTAGTTATTTCTTTAACCTGGGTAACTTGCCATAGTACACAGTGTGTAAATTATGCAGGAATCTACACTGAAATGCTCAGCTTTCAAGAACCCTGCTGCCCTTGGAAGCTTGACCAGGGGTAGCAGTGAGGTTTCTGATCATTTTCTTCTGCTGTTACCTCATGACCCAAACGCTTAAGTTCAACTACAGTGTTATGCTCACTGCAGCTGTATATTTCTTTCTAGATTGCCAGGGAGTGTCTGTACAAGCTTCTCATAATAATACAACAACGAATTGTTAAAATATAACTTTGGATCAGATGAAAGCAAAAGAAAAATCAGCTAAATATGTGTAAAAAGAAAGCAAAATTAAGGGATACAAACACCTTGTATTGTTGTCGAGAGCGTGCTATGAGACACATCTTTATTTCCTGAGGACAAACTGGTAAAATGCAATCAAGGCATCATTTCAGTCTGCTTGTTCCCATTAATGCAGAAACATTGTGTAGAATGTATGAACGTAAAATGTTCCATATATTGCCAACAGTAGCAGTATTGTTCTCTCTCTTTAATACAAAAATGCATTAAAATAGTAAAATTGCTTTTACCTTCTGGATGGGAAGCTTAATTCCTAGGAGACTGCAGGGAGAAAACCACATCATCTCGGGTACTACTGATAAGCCTACAGTGCAGTTCACCCCTGTCAGAGATCAGAGTTTGCAGAAACAGCAAGTGACAGGAGCTTTAGAAGGGCCACTTATTTGTCCCTGTTGAAATGAGGCAGGGGAACTTCGACAGTTTTTTTTCATGAAAGGAAATTCTCAGTTTGGTTAAATTTGGGTTTAGTGTAGACAGTTTAACTGATAAGAATCCTTAGCAGTCTGTAGTTTGTAAAGTAGGTGGTTCAGAGCCATCAGTCCTTGCCATCTGGGTTCCGTGGTACAGCTGAGGATGCAAAACCCTTTCTTTGTCCAGGTTCTTGACTGTGCTAGCATATCAATGTATCAATTTCAAGGTATTCAGGAGCAAAGTCTGAAAATGAAGACATAAACTTAAATTCAATATGTGGCTGTGCTGCTGACAGACCACTGTGATATCTTTGCTGTAAGATAGTTGTACATATGTTCTCCCTCCATTTTTTCTTTGTTTAAAAGTCTGTCAGACCATCTAATTAATTTGCTTTGTATTTAGTAGTATTATCTTTTGTTTACAATGGCTTTTCTTCACATCCTCTGGAGGGCTAAGATGTCAGGGTGCTATGGATTTACCATGCATTTTTAATGCTGCCATGCTGTGTTTAACTTTCACTTTTCATTAAGCATCAAAACTGTGAGAATTAAAAGCCTGCTTTTGATGTTCCAATAAAAACCGACAGTCAAATTTGGCATAAGAGGAGGAAAAATGATTTATTTTTTTTTTTAAGTCTAATTTGACACCAAATACCCAAAATAGAGGATGGCGAGTAATTTTAGCATAAATACTGTAAAAGGCAGGTAATCGTTGTCATTAGTAAATCATCTTTAGAAAGTTTGGTTTGTAAAGCAATTTAACTTATTTTTATTGAGATAAATAGGTTTTTCACTCTGCTACCTGAGAGCAGTGTCTGTAAATTCCTACAACATAGTCTAAAAAGCCAAAGACAATTGCAAATAGACAACACTTTTCTATTGTTAGAGGAATGCTAAAATAATTTCATAAGCCTTTCCCCTTTTATAAAGGGTTCTGTAATTCAGAATTTAAGCTTGCGTGCCATAGAAAAGTAGCTGATTTGATGAAAATGTGGTTAGGAAAAGAAGTTTTCATCATGTAGGCATTTTAATTTTTTTGACTGGCTATTTCACTTTTAGTTTAGACTTCAGAGTGCGTGTGTGTGTTTATATGTAATGAGATCTAACAGACCTTTTACTGATTAAAGTTGAAGAGGAAGGAACTAGGGGAGAGGAGCATGGCAGGATAAGTGACTTGTAAATTGTATTTCTATGCACCTTGCTGAAGTGTTCTTTATCCATAATAACATGATCTTGTGCCTGTTTTCTGTTCCATACATATGCCATTTATAACTGCTTCTTCTCTCTTGATGTCAGAGCAGACACATTATTAGTGTAAAAATTGCATTATGCCACACATCGTGTCTGATTTTTGAGAAATTCTGAAATTCCAAGGAGAGGTTTATTGATATGCCAAAGAGCTTGAAGAAAGCAATGGTATATTAAATTGAGGATCTTCAGAGTTAACAGCATGAGGTGCTGGAACAGTTCATTTTGACATACTCTTTTTCAAGCCTTTTCCTAGTTATTTCAGTTAGCATGATGGGCTGGTTTGGACTTCTTCATTGTTTTATGGCAGTATGAGCGCACATGGAGGTGTTTAAGACTATGCCTGGCTATCTAATTCAGGA